GAGTTTCACCGACTCATCAATATATGTTTGTGACGATATATATATCGTCACAAATAGAACTGCCCGGTAAACCGTAGGCAGAGAGAGAGAAGAGGACAACAAACGAGGGGCTGTGACAAACTGTATATATATATATCGTCACAAATAGATATACAGGGTAACCGGGGTTCGGCACGAACGCCCGAACCCGAACGCCCGAACGTATGGGACCCCTTGGGGATGCGTTCGGCCGTTCGGGCCGAACGCGGACCCAAAAAAAAACCAAAAAAAACAAAAAAAAGTTCATCAAAAACATCTGAAAAAAAGATATGTTATGGAGAAAAATAAATTAAACAATATTTGCCTGAGCATTACATCCAAATTCCTTACCAAATTTGAAATAAAAATAAAATACGGAAAACAAATACTAATAATAAAAATAAATAAAAATAAAAAGAGAATTAAATTTAGTGAGTGCGCGAGCATGTTTTCGACACCGCCGTCTTTGGAGATTTTTCATTTTTTTTTGGCATAGCTAAATGCCCTGAAAATTTAAAGATGTGTACTTCACATAATACAAAACCCACTATAAAAGTTTCAAAAAATAATAAAATTGTTTAGACCCCGAACTAAAGTGAAAACAAAAAGTAAAAAGTGAAAAAATACGTGGGCGAGCACGTTTTGACACCGCCATCTTTGGCGATTTGTAATTCTTATTTGGATTAGCCAAATGACTTGAAAATTTACAGGCATGTACCTCACGTCGCCGTCGCGTTCGGACCCCGTATGGGACCCCGAACGCCCGTACGTACGGGGGTCTGCCCGGGGACCTCCGTACGTACGGGCTGGTTACCCTGTATATATATGTACAGGGTTGCCAGGCCTAAAGTACGGATGCCCTAAGCTGACCCCCGAACGTTCGGGCGTTCGGGTCCCCGTACGGGGCCTGAACCCGAAGGGGTGCGGAGTCTGCGGACCCCGCTAAAAAATATTTTGACACCTAAATATTATTATTCTTTTCTGAATTGTTTTTTTTTTTAGTTCTTTGTAATGTAAGTTATCTTCCTCTTAATTTTGAAGGCATTCTGTTCAGCCAAAAAAAAATTGAAAAATCGGCAAAGATGGTGGTGTCAAAACTTGCTTGCCCACTCACTAATTTATTTTTTTTCTCTTTTCACTTTTTGTTTTCCCTTTATTTCGGGGCATGAAAAAAATTATTATTTTTTCAAACCTTATTTGTAGGTTCTCTATTATGTAAGATACACATATATAAATTTTCATGGCATTTGTCAAAGCCAAAAAAAAGAAAAATCGCCAAAGATGGCGGTGTCAAAAACGTGCTCGTCCACTCAATAATTTCATTCTCGTTTTATTTTTTCTGATTTTCATTTTTTCATTATTATTGTTTATTTATTGTATTTGATTTTTATTTCAAATTTGGTAAAGAATTTGGATGTAACGTTGAAGCAAATGTTGTTCAATTTATTGTTCTGCATAACATTTGTTTTTCCATATTTTTTTTAATTCTTTTTTTTTCTTTTTTTCTTTTTTTTGGGTTCGCGTTCGGCCGAACGGCCGAGCGCTTTCCAGTGATGGGCAGTGTCATGTCAATATAGCTTGCCAAGACCATGGCCAAGGGGTGTCCGGTACCGTTTTCCTCCAAATGCGGTCCCACCACCGCCACGTCGATAGGGCCACCGAACATTGGATAAAGATATGCTCAATAGTTTCGTTTCTTTTTTGCATTGGGAAGCGGACAAACAACGGTGACACCAGGGGAGCGCTTTGCCTTTTTGTTCCAGATGTGTATGGTCAATCAGCCACGCATTTGTTGGCAGACAACGATGAGTGATCTGCCACTGTAACGACATGATTTTTGCCGGTCTCGCTTTGCTTTTATTGAACCATTTGATTGGTTTGAGGAGAGACTGATCCACGTTCAGGTGTTTAGCCCATTTGTCGTTGATCCACGTTCAGGTGTTTAGCCCATCTGTCGTTGATCCACGTTCAGGTGTTTAGCCCATCTGTCGTTGGTTTGGTCCCTCAACACTCTCTTGGGTCTAAGCATCCTATACATAGATTTAACAGATATCGTGTTAAGGTGGATTTTTTTTCCGGTCGCCGCTGCTGTTCCTTGGTTTGCCATTGCCATTCTTCAAGGTCAATGGGCAACTCGTTTATAGGTGTTAGGGGGGAGAAGACCGTGAGGTCTTATCCCTCCTGTAACACCCGTACCCGGAACATCTTGTTTTTTTCTCGCCACTCAAAGGGGTTGTGGGAGCCAAGAAGCTTCCCCCTTGGTCCAATGGCATAATATTCCACCAACACGTCAGTTTTTCGCACCATATGGATCCGGCCTATTCGTTCCTTGTCCCCTAGTATGGCGGCCCAGTCCCCTTCCGCCAAAGTGGGGCCATGATTGAGCACCCTATACCATGCGAGAGGGAGTGCTTCAATGATTGTTTCGAGGTGCTTCTCGGTATGATGACGATAGCGGAGGATGTCTTGAAGCTCGGCTGCTGTTTTCCAATCTTTCCTCTCCTGGTCCCACATGTGCCCAACACGGAGTATCCCGTTCCTCACCCATCCCTTTCAGGAGGCAGTAGAGCTGCTTAAGATCTGCCCATGAGAGGGGGTAATCCACCGGTTCCCAAAAAGCGGTTGTCGGTACACCTCCTCCCACCGCGTCGGTGCGTGTTTCTCAAGGGGGGAGAGCCTGCGCCAACATTTTAATAATGAAGGCCAAAAGTTATCTGTTGTTTGGTCGTGGATCTTGCGCGGGATTGACCAGTGGCGATCCTCTAGCCATGTGAGCGGGTTAACCTCTGGTGAAACCGGCGGAGCCAATCGGGCAATATGCTCAAGGGCGAGGGTTAGCCAAGGGTTGTCCGAGGAAAAGATCAAAAACTTCAGCCATTTAAGACGGAGGGCCTGGACTTGTGTCACGGGATCAATGATACCCAGGCCTCCAATCCGTTTTGGCTGTATAACAGACTCCCATGCCACCCTACCGATGACATTTTCTCGCTCATCATCTCCTCTCCAAAGGAAGGTTGCTACCTTAGACCTAAGCAATTAGAAGGCAGTCTTACTCAGAGGCCAAAGCACCGATTTATACCACAACGCAACTAACACCACATTTTTTATGACCAGCGCTTGACCAACGAGGGAGGTGTGCTTGTTGCGCCAATCGACCATCTTAGCTAATGCTGGTGCCAAAATCCAGTCGTCATTTAGGGAAGGGCGGCCCTGGGCAGTTAGAGACACCCCAAAAAAACGAACGGGGGCCTGTAGGGGAAGCCAGTGAATGTTTGGGGAGTCTGGTGGACTGCCCCCTTGATAGTGAATCCACCATCCCTGTGTTGTGCTCCCCCAATTCACCACCATGTCAGATGCCTGAGCAAATTTATTCATTAAATTATGAATTTCAATCATGTTCTCCTGGGTAGCGTCTATTATGATGGTGAGATCATCTGCGAACAGTGAGCTTACCGGGACAGCTTCCTCAGGGATTCTTGTAATCTGGATTTTCTTAATGTTTTTATTTGCGCGAAGGTTGGCCGATAGGGCCTCCATGATAATGAGAAAGAGAAAGGGCGCTATAGGGTCGCCTTGGCGGACCGACCGTTCCAGCCCAATCGGAGGAGCCAGTGTCCTGTTTATTTGCACCCTTGTAGTAGCTTTGTGATGAAGGATGCGTACCCACCTGCGGAAGACTGGCATGAAATTCATTTTTTCCAGGCTCTTATCAAGAAAAAGCCAATCCACATGATCGTAGGCTTTTTCAAAATCGATGAAAACGAGGGCTGCATTTTGCTTTGTTTGTCGGCTTAATTGCAACACCTCGTTAACCAGTAAGATATTTTCTTGGATTTGCCTATGTTGCATAAAGCCTGTCTGTGATGGGTGGATCACCCCCTCTAGGCTTGGGATCATCGTGTTGGCCAGCGCCTTGGCGAAACATTTTATAGGTATCTTATTTTTTTTTATAGAAGGGACAACACTCCTTGGCCTACCAATTCCCCCATTTCCCCTGTACGCCATACTTCATTACAATACTCCATTAGATCAGGGCTCATGCAATCCCATATTGTCTCCCAAAACTTTTTCGGTAAGCCGTCCAACCCGGGGGGTTTCTCCGCTTCCATCTGCAGGAGAGCTGTCCATATTTCTTCCTTAGATAGAGGAACTTCAAGACTCTCTCGCTGGGTGGGCGAGAGGCATCTGTCAATAGCTTGGAGGAAGTCCTCTATCTGTTTCCGCCGGGTATCTTCATCAGTGGGAGGGATGTGGGATGCAAAGAGGTCCTTGAAAAAATCCCGAGCAATTTTAACACATCCTGTAGTTGTGGTGATTGGGTGAGTCTCAGACCCCCCAGGTCCGTATAATGCTTCCAAGATTGTGCGTTTCACCCTAGCTCGGGCGAGGCCGAAAATTTTTGTGTCCATTGAACCCTCGGTGGAATAATGGGAAAGTTTGTCGCGAATCCGGGCGCCTTGCCAACGATATTGAGCTTGCTGGAGTAACTGAGTTTTAACTGCTTGAATAATGTGCACATAGTGGTCCGGGTCGTGAGGTGTTGGCTGCAGTTCTAACTCTTGAAGTTGGTTTAGTAGGTCTGTTTCGTGCTGATTTCGCTGTTTAGCAAGTTATTTGTAAAATTCATTACATTCTTTTGCCAGAAAAAACAGTCCGTTATTGAACCATGTCAGAGGGGAGTCCACTTCAGGGTAACGCTCTTGCCAGTATGCCCATACTTGAGTGAGATACCTCTGAAACGATTTGAGGCGGAGCAAAGAAGTGTTTACTTTATAAAAACAGGGGCTTTGGTCTGGCCTCTTTCGAAAGGTCAGCTCTATCATGCATATTTTGTGGTCCAGCCCAGGATAAGGGTTGGACGAGAGGATTGTTGCGAGTGTCAAACTGCCCGCCAGGTCTTCTGAGATAAGGATCAAGTCGATCCTTGATTTAGAGAGCCTGGATGGGTCATTGTTGCGGATACATGTAAATGTTCGTTCTGTAGGAAAGAAGCGGCGGGAAGTATTAAGAAGGGAAAGAGAACTGCACAAGCGGTTAAGCATGCCTTCGTCTTCCTCTACCCGATGCCTGGTGGAAGGGGGAACCTGCCAGCGCTCTAGCCAGCGGTCAGGGGCTGCATTAAAGTCCGCAACAAGAATGATGGTAATGCCTTGCGGCATTTTAGTTTGAATCTTTTGAAAAAAATTCTCGCGTTCCTCTACAGCGTTGGGGGCGTAGATGCAAAAAATACAGACAACTTCTAATTCTAATGCCCCCAATACTGAAACCCATCGGCCCTCCTCCATGTCCCTTTCGTGGTGTAAGACCTCCAGGCAGGAGTCCGGGGGAATCCGTATTGTCGTCCCCACACTTGCTGACCGCCGTGCATGTGCCCTGTAGGCCTGATATGGCCAAACTGCCTTGTGTACTCTGGTATGATCAGGGGAATCAGTCAGGTGTGTTTCCTGTACACAGACCACGTCCGGCCAACTTCGTCCCTCGAACCCCCGGATAAGGTTTCGTATGGCCTGGGATTTGTCTGGGCAAAGTGTGGCCAGGCCGTTCACATTAATGGATCTGAGGTCTAGATCTGCATTACGAAGTGTGCTGCGCCAGGTCTTGTTGAGGCCGTATAGTGCTTCGATCCATTCCATTTTCCTAGTGTCCAGACCGTTTCCCCTGTTTCCTGCCCTAGAGATAGTGCCACTTATACTGGTCCCATGCGACCCCGTCATTGATTATGTCCATCAGGACTATGGAACACAAGGCGGTGATTATCTCCCTATCAGGCCATATGGCTGGGTTTGATTTTGAGATGTTGCAGTTCTAATAAAACATTGTGTGTTACCCAGGTCAGATCTGCCTCCTTTTTTTGGTCAACAAGAACATACAGATCAGTATCCGCACTTTGGCAGGAGCCCGGCCGCCCCGCTTCATAATGCATAGTAATAAAATATTTTGCCTCCTTAAGCTTGAAACTGCACCGCCCTTCCTCGTCTTGCTGCAAATTCCAGCCATGTAGTGTGAGTGCCCTCCTGCAGGGAGAACAATCATTTTCCTCCGCCGGGGCCTACCATTTTTCTTTCTTATACGGATTGCCAAAACCTTGTCCCCCAGAGGTGGTGGCTCCTGATAAAGCCCTTTTTTTATTAGGTGCCGCAAGCGCGGGCAACAGGGAAGCTCTGGGTCCTTTGGGGTAAGTGCAGCTTGAGGTGGAGGATCAGGGGCTAGCGGCGAGGGGGGGACAACGAGTACTGTCGGCAGAGGATCCTGGGCAGGGGAGCTGCACTGCTCCTGCCCCGGGAGGGGGGGGCCAGTTGAATTGACGGTGGACAATGCACCACACCCGATGCCAGGTTTCCTGCCCGCTAATCGACTAGGGGAGCCCATGTTCCAGGGCCTGTTGGAGACTAGGGCTGCCGTCCAAAACATCGAAAAGATCGAGATATGCCTGGTCCCAGAAGTCGTCTGTCAAGTGCGTGGAGTGTGCATAATGAACATTTAGTTGTGCATGGAGCCATTCCATGAGTGCCTTCATCCTGTCCCCTGTCTCCTGTTGTGTTTCCGGTGACGGGTCCGTCATGATTGCCTCTGGTGGCGGTGTAGATGTTTTTGCAGACAAGGGTTCTGGCTCTTCCACCTCCATTGGCTTAGGATCGAAGGGCTGCTGGAAGGGGTCCTTCGGTTGAGGGAACCTAAATGTGTAGTGTTCACAGGGTTTTCCTTCTGAGTCTTTTGTCACATCACTTGTCTGTGACCCAGCCCTTTCGAATGCTCCTGGCTCTTTCACCTCCCCTGTATGAGAGGGCCGGCCTTCCCCTTCCTCCGTCTGTCATGCTACCATCATATTGTCCTGTCCCACTATGGCCGCTGGCTGTTGAGGCTCAATCATGTCATCCTGTAGCACCCCCCACCATCTGCTACATTCCCTTGCTGTAAAGTTCCTCTTTCCACATCACCCAACAGTTTCGTTTTCTGTGGCTGAAGCCCAATCATCCCCCCCTGTGACGTCCCCCCCCTTTCCTTTTCTTTCCCTTGCAGCACCGCTTGCTCCCCTCTCTGAACCACCGACCTGTTCCTTCTCCTGCTGCTGGAGCCCGACCACGCCTTCTCGCGACGTCTCGCCCTCATCCATTTTTGCTCTTTGCGGTGAAGCTTGCCCCCATCCTGTTGTTTCCAAAGCTGCGAAGCGGTTGTCATTCCAGACCGTATTTTTCTTGATCCCCCTCCTAGAAGTTTTTTTCCGATATACAGGGACCGGCTTCGATGTTTTTGCCAGTTTTTTTTGAAGGGGGGACTACCTGCCACATTTCCTTCGCTCTGTTCCTTTGAGGAAGGCCTCTGGACGGGGTTCCTGGGTCTGTCCCGGGGGGGGGGGGGGGGGGTCGGTGTTCATGCTGTGTGCCCAGGTGTTCTTCTACTGAGTGTGGGGGCAACCAATGGTCAGGGGGGTTACTCTGCAAGACCATCTCCTCTTTTCTCTCCCATTCCAACCCTCTGATCCCTCCTTCTTTAGCTTCATCGATATATACCCAGCCCTCGTGACCTGGGTCAACCGTACGCCAATGTGTTGCCCAGAATGGGTCTCGGAGCAGGCGGACGGTTCCTTTCATGCGTCTGGCTGGATGATGGGGGCAGTCAGTCTTTGAGACACTATGGCCGATTGTTGACATTTAAAACACCACGGCCTTCGTTTATGGGCCGTGTGTATTTTAAAGTTTTTGGCCCCTATTCTAAAAGGTATCACATCATCGATCTGAAAGATACAGTTCTCCGACAGATCCAATGCTAATATTAGATAATCGTCTCGCGATGCTACATATGCCGGAAGAGGGTCTTTAAAATCCACAATGTCGTATTTTTGTGCCAGATCTTGAACAAAAGCTACCTGAATTTCAATCGGTACATGTCTGTACTCGACCCAGTAATAGTCAGCCATGAGCTGATCGCGTCTCTCTTCCCTGCTTTGTTGTCTTTGGGGCGACCATGGGTAGATTCGTAGTCTTTGTTGTCTTTGGGGCGACCATGCCCAGTAATCTCTTCTGCCTGTGTGGTGAATATTTCCTGCTTGCGATGTTGCGAAAAAGAAGAGGGCACATTTTCTGCTGGCACCGATATTCATTTCACTACGGGGCTTTTGGATGTGAATTGCCTTCGTACTACTAGGCTGCAAAAGAGCATCAGACGCTGGAGCAGCAGCTGCGCTTGGAGCGGAGAGAGCGTGGCAAAATCATCAACAAGTTGGAGAATGCTGAAAAACGGGCACGAGGTAATACTTTTAAATCCTAGAGGTTCATAATTGAAATCCCGAAGTGGAAAATTCAAAATTGTTTCGTTGTGGAGTGCCAGAACTATGCAGAGGGATAAAGAACGAGTTTGCCGATATGTACCAAGATGATTGTTTGTAAGCCTGGTTATTGCCACAGTTATTCCGGCAAGCTATTTCTCAACCAAGATGCCGCAAATCTTTCCAAGTCAGCTGGGGACATGTTTGCAAAATGTACTTGTATAATTGAATAATTGTATTATTGAATAATTATTTTATAGGTGTAATCATGTGATCTCATTCTCCTTCCAAAGGGAAGACAACCGTTGACTTTACTCTATGCAACAGAACTCCAACCCTCAACTGACCCTCAACTGACCCTCGACTGACCTCAACTGACCCTCAACAGACCCGCAACTGGCCCGCAATGAGCGCTAAACTGACGGGCAGCTAACCCTCGAGTAACCCCTCAACGAACTCTCGATGGACCCTTGACTAACTGCCAACTAACCCCTCATCTGAGCCCTCAACCAATCCTTAAACTATGCTCAACTGATTGTTACCTAACCGCCAACTGACCCCTCAACCAATCCCTGAGATAAATCTCAAATGACCCTTAACTAACTCTCAACTACCCCTAAACCAATCCCTGAACCTTAACTAACTCTCAACTACCCCTAAGCCAATCCCTGAACTAAATCTCGAATGACCCTCTCAGCTAATCCCTCGATAATCCCTCAACTAAACCTCAGCTAACTCACCACTATTCTCATCTAACCCTCAATGTAGTGGCTCACATTTAGGAGGTCCATGTGTGCCATTCATTTAACAGCCAGATACATCATGCCAATTCAGCTCAGTTGTATCTGGGAGTGTTCTACTCATGTCACAACTTCTTTCCTAATCAATCTCTGTTTAGTCCTGTTCATGAACCTTCTTGAGCTTTTCTGGCTCTGGCACCGCTTCTTTCCTAATCCATCTCTGGTAGTCCTGTTCATGAACCCTCTTTAGCTCTTCTGGCTCGGCACCGCTTCTTTCCTAATCGATCTCTCTTTATTCCTGCTCATGAACCCTCTTTACTCTTCTGACTCTGTGAGTGTTCTACTCATGTCACAGCTTCTTTCCTGATCGATCTTTGTTTAGTCCTGTTCGTGAACACTCCTTTAGCTCTTCTGGCCTGTTGATGGCGTGTGCTCCTCCACTCTCAGCAGTTCCACTTACTAGTTTCTGACCAGTGACCTCCTCATTGAGTGCGCTCTTCTGCTGCCAACTGCTCCTATCCCCTTGTTTTGAATGGTTGTTACTGCCATTCTTGTTCATCCATCACAAATTAACAATGAAAATGCACTATATAGAGGCCAGAAGAGATAAAGAGTGTTCATGAACAGGACTAAACAAAGATCGATTAGGAAAGAAGCTGTGACATGAGTAGAACACTCACAGAGCCAGAAGAGCTAAAGAGATACGACCCAGACTCCTACGGGAGGCAGCAGTGAACTTCGACAAAGCAGTCTGTTACAGCCCCTCGTTTGTTGTCCTCTTCTCCCTCTCTGCCTACGGTTTATCGGGCAGCTCTGTTTGACTATAGATATAGTCTGTAGAGTTTTCCATCTGGTGTGGGTGAGTGATAGTCTACTTTGATTTTGGTTAAGGTAGATTATCATTTACAGTGTAATCAGTGAGGGGATTCTGCAGACTGTTGAGGGTTCAGCCTC